CACTGCTGAAGGCATTCCAGCACTCTTCAGTTTTTGGCTCTGTATTTGTGCAAGTATAATGTTGCATTAGCCCATACTGCCATTCCATTTTTCTTCAGCTTTTAAGAAAATGGAGAATTTGGACAGGGCTAACTCATTTTAGTGTCTAAACAGTCCAGTTTAGAGTCTGTCATTCATCCTTGCCAAGGTGTATGGATCAGGAATGAGAAGTGTTCATGTTCCATTAAGGTGGACAGTAAGGAGCAAGTAACTGGAATGACTTTTCCGTTGCTAAAACCCATTTATTTTTGTAAAGAGGGTTCAAAGGATAGCAGCACATTCATTACCCAGTGACAGCTGGAGTTTAGCAGTAACAAAACCTGTTCCAAAGACAAGATAGAGAAACAGTTATGAGGCTGAAACAAAGAGCTTGTTTCTCTCTGATGACTGCCTTGCCCATAAGACTGTGGAGATGTGTTCACCTAGATTTTTCTCTCCTTTTGACTCAGCAAATTCTGAATTCTTTATTGCGTTTTGGCCCAACTCCAGCAGGGGCCTTACCTAGAGGTAAGGATGGTACCTTAGCAATAGACTCTTGCTTTGTGGTTAGGGCACTAAAGTTGGAGACAAGCAGAGGAGGGGGCAACAAACAGGGACCTGTATAAGACAGGGAGCAATGTTCCACTTCCTGACATGTTTTAAGTGATGCTTCTGACAGTTCTGGGATTTCGTGTGAAGTTTCAGCTTGCTGGGGTGTATTATATATCTGTATATATGTCCCTATCTGTCTATCTGTCTTGCAAATGCTCATGGCGTGGAGACAGGGAAACATCTTCATTCCAGGACCTCAGTATTGGTTGCGCATTCCTGTCAAAACTATTTTTTTCAGGACATGATCAGAATTAGACCATTCTGACACACTGACACACATCAAGATGAGAAACTGTCATTAAAGGAAGCAAGACGGACACAGTTAGGCAGCAGCTATGAGGTTTTGTAGGGCTGACCAAGCCTGAGACACCATTAGCTAATGATTCCTCACTCCTGCAGGCTGAACTTCACCCAGGCATCAGTTTCTTGACCTGCTCCACTTTATAAAATTCCATTTGCCTTACCTAGGTAAGGATTATTTTGGATTGAAATCTTGAACTATATCTACATCCTATTTTGGATTGGTTAGAGATATTTCACTGAAAAAAAAATCACTTCTGTATGCCACCTTAAAAGAAAATTAAGAACAGCATATGGACATTTCAGAAGAACATACCGCAGTATATTTTCAAATAGGATAAAATGGTCTTACTTAACAGAATTAATTTGGCCACCAATATTTAGAAATAACAACTACCAGTAACATACACATAGGGTAGGATTTTATTTATTTTAAGTGTAAGTGACCTTATTTGGAATGATTCTTCAGCTACTGATTACATAGTTCCCTAAAACTTCACCTCTCTCTCTCAGTTTGATTGTGGATTTACTCTTAATACCAACACCGCTGGCATGTGCATGCTGACATGCTGTACCAGCATTCAATCTATTTAAAGAAAAGTGCAGAACTATATTAAAAGGGGCAAATTGTTGTATTAACATATTTACCCTACAGAAATACATTTGGCTTTGATAGTATTGTAAGTGTGAGAAGTGATAATGACCATGGTTTAAAACTTGATTTTTTTAAGGTCTACAGCAATGTGTAGCTCAAAATGGTACTCGCAAAGAGATGCAGATTTACTGACAAAGAGTAATATGAAGGCCTCTGAATTGGAAGAATGTTAGTGCTTCAATTCATAAATTAATAGCCAATGACTAATGTGATTAAGAGCATTTTATCATTAAAGGCAACAAAAATAACCGGAAGACGAGCATTGTTTCATCACTAGAAGTGAAATTATAAGCAGTTACACATTAACATTCAATACCTATATTTGGAAACAGCAAGCACCAGTGTCTTATGATGCTGGGGTGAAATAAATTAAAAAAATACTGTCTATTTTGAGGCTGAATGTGATAGAGTTAAAATGTAAAGTTAAGCATTTCCAAATCAGCAGACCTAGAAACTAATAAGAAAAGAAGCTAAGTAAGGAGTTTTATCATCTTAGTTTAAAATCAATAATAAAAATCAAGAAAAAGTCCATAGAACTTAAGGATTGTCAGTGCAAGTCAAATAGTTATCATTAGTAGGACTGGCCCAGTCACTCATACAACAGCCTTTGACTGATGCCTAGTAAAATAATGGGATGGTTAATTTGGAACTACCATCGACAAAAAGCTTGAAGCTAAAAGGAAAACAGTACTTATGTGTCACTTCATGGAATCATATTTTGTGAAGGGTTTCTGTTATATGTTTTTTTTTTTTTTTTTTGCCAGAATTATAGCTCTGACTAACAAAAATAATTTTATTTGTTTAAGGTATTCTCTGAAGTATATGATACATTTGTATATTTGCTCTACTTTAAAGAAATAATCACAACAACATTTCAAAATTTGGTGCTTCTTGAGGAGACAACCTTCCAAAAATTAGGTAATTGCCCCTTGTGTTCAGAAGAGGTCTGACTTAGGAACCATCATAGTTCAAAGAAAAATGCTTCCACGTATTTTCACTTCAACATAGCAAATTTTTAAAACAGTCTTTGTCATATATTAAGGGTTATATTAACGAAAAAGGAAACTTTCTTGACTTTGCTTTTTATGATGAGACTTGATAAGAATTGCTAGTCTGGTGGAAGAAGGTTATGTAAACATTTGAAGGACTTCAAAGGATAAACTTTGGAGCACTTCAAAATTGATCCAAGACCTAAAACAATCCTTATGATGGAAATTTTAAGACTCATTCTATTTATCTCATCCCAGAGAAATATGAGAGGTGGGTTTGATCAATGTGATGTTTTAAAGAAATGTAAAAAGATATGGAAAGACATCTGACAGCTGGCAGGCTTGTTGGTCTTGAAGATTAAAACAAAACAAGCTCTTCTAACTGGAGGATGAAGTTAGTAAATTTAGCTTAGTAATAAGTTGTATTTTTCCTGCTAGAAATAATAATCGAATGATTGATAGCCTGCGAGTGGTTAATGCACTAGTTCTTTCTAGTGTTTAAGACAAATTTAAATTTATTTTGCAAAGCCAAATCTTGGAGAGCTCTGATTTCTGTTTAATTAGGAGCTCAAAGGAGGCAGTATCTCTGGACTCCTATATTCTATCAATTTATAAAAGCCAAGAGTTATTTATAAGCCTGAGAGTATCAGGACTTAGCACCTCAGTATTTTCATTATGCGACAGTCTTTTTGCCAGCTGAGCCTTCCTGCTAGAGATGGCTTCAGTGATAGTGAACATCCTTATATTACTGTATGTCAAGTTCTATTTCTATTTTGAAGACCCAAGGATGACTGAAGGAAGTAGCATGATAGTATCTGCTTTATTTCTCTTTTTATTGTGTAGGTGATGTTTTGTTCTTTAAAAAGGCAGTGCTGGGCGGCAGACAGGAGATTGCTCCTTGTCTTTTTCCTTGTTGTTGCTGTGCTTTTAGTGGTGAGAAGTCTTCTGGCAGGTGGGGGAAAACTGCTTTACTGAGGGCAACTGAACACGCTCAGGTGCAAGAATCATTGGGAGAAAAGGGCAAGGCTGATACCCAGAAAGCCAGTGGCTATGGAAATTGCTTAGAAAGGCAAAGCACAGGCATATAGACAGGCTTGAGGAATGACAGAAAGGTATTTTTGCTAGGAACCTAGATGGGATAGTGAAGAGCTTATGGCAGCCCCAGGAACCATTGAAGATTGCTGGATATAGAGCAAGGCTGGTGGAAGGTATTGCCCCTTTCCAATCAGACCTCCCTGCTCTGCTATAAGGGATTTGTTTCATTCTAAATTTCCTATTTTTATAAAAAGAAAATAAAATCTATTTTAAAAAAATAATAAAAATTTGCCTGTGGACTTTTCAAAAGCCTTTTGGTACACATAGTTCAAAGAAAAAGTGTGGGTAAGGGCATGCCATACTCTGGTGAGTGCAAGCCTTGCTACAAGGAAATCTCCCACAACAGACAGTGTCTGAATTCTCTGCTTGGAAGCTGTCAGCAAGATTATGCTCTGGACTAATCTATTTCTCTAAATATCTGCCATGTGAGAAAGGATCAATCTGTACTCAGAAATTTCTGGTGACTGTTGACATCCACAGCAAAAAGCCTAAAGGAAAAGATGGGGAAGAAGAGTTGCGAATATTGTCCTCTGTGTACAGAGGAGGACATTGCCACTCTCAGATAACTACAACTTCGTATTTCCCTCTCAGGTTGCTAATATTTTTCTAAAGGCTGCAGGTATTTCATGTCTGAAATGAGCCATCTATAGCCTTGCTGTGATGTTCTGTGTTTACTGAAACTGTACTTTACACAGATTTTTAAGACAATTGTCTAGAAATGCTGAAATTACAATAAATCCACACCAGTCACTCAACATGACCAATGTTTTCTCTTTAGGGCTTACTCCTATATTGTGATATCATTGAATCAACATTTGTAAAAGAGCAGCGACCAAGCAGACATATTGATGCCATGGATAATTTTCAGAAGTGTTTTGCAATTTTAAAGTTGTATCAGCCACGAGCAGACAGCAGGAGTTACAACACATCAGAGGAATTTGATACAGCAGAAGTCAAAGACTGGAAGGCAATCCGTGTGGATCTGGTTATAAGCCCCTTTGAGCAATACGCATATGCTCTGTTAGGCTGGACAGGCTCCAAGGTAAGTAATCACAACAGTCTACTTTTCCTTAGCACTGCTGTTTTTGCTCTTGCAGGACAGATCAGAGTTCATGGAACTTGTAAAAATGTTCCTTCTCCCCTCATGCCACATTTTATACTGTCATCACCCCATAATCAGAGCTGAGAAGTTGGGGAACTCATCAGTGACACTTCTGTATTGTGTCTAAGAGAATTTGTTCTTCCTGAAGATTTGTGTTTAGATACATACAAAGAATTATAAGCTAGATTTTGAGTCTGCCTTGGCTTTTCTATGTCATCCTAGTGCTAACACGCAACTTAAACGATGCTGAGTAGAGGGGTGTTTTGAAAAGATGAAAGAATTATCCCAATGATATTATGGGAAAATAAACATTTCTTGAAGAAATGCTATGAATTGTAATTCAATTGAAAATAATTTGAAATTTTTCTTTTTGCATTAATGAAATATTTTGTTGTGATTTTATTTTACTTGAATATTGTGTTTCTTCATTAGTTCTGAATTGAAGAAAATCTTTTGAGAGGTAAAGATAATTTTAAATGTGAGTTGCTTTGGTATTAGATGTTATTGTTTGTGGATAATTGCTGATTTGGTGTGTATTATATAGATTTTTTGTGGGCATAATATTTCCACAATAGAAAGTTTTATCTAAATGTACACTCAATTCAAATTATTAATATTTTTCCAGATAATTATTTTAAAATCTATTCTACATTCTATAGAGGGCAACCTCTGAGGTGTTTGTTTAGGGAATGATTACGTGGTATAACAGAGTGCTCCTTAAAATTTTCTGAGCTCCCTTTGAATGAGCTTTTTGATGTGCTGGATGCAGTGCAGGGGCATGTCTAGTCTAGTTAGGTTAATTAGAAGCAGGATGTTTTAGACAAGGCAGAATCCTGCAATTGATGTGTTCTCCTGCTGTGCTGCTGAGTTACTTCAGATATTTTTCTGTTTTGAGATAATAAAATGTATTTGTGGGGACCTTGGAATAAGTACTTGAGACTTTAGAGTCCTTTTTACCCTGGAAGTGTCTGACTACTGAAAGGTCCATGTCTCCTCTGACCCCTGTAAGTGGTGGCCTCACTTTGTGAGGCCCTTTGAGGTAGGTGGGTAAGGACTTCACCTTACTGCGCTTGGCTCAGCTGCTGCTCTCTGCAATGAGTCACCTGCCAGGGTGGGTGCCCATAACAGGCCATAGTTCAGTCTTGCTTTCTCTTGGAAGAGCCAAGAATAGCCTATTCTCAGGATAGCTGTAAGTGATGCACTATCAATACAGTGCCTCTTGGCTTACCCATATGTTCAGACTATCATCTTTTAAAGAGCTCAGCTTTTTCATGTATTCATTTGTTGTGTGATTTGGTGTTTGACTCTTAGGAGAAGGTTAACCCTGTCTGTCTGTTACTCTCACTCACATTCGTTACATCTTTTATAGCAATTTGGGCGTGATTTGCGCAGGTATGCCAATCATGAGAAGAAGATGATGCTGGATAATCATGCCTTGTATGATAAGAGAAAGGTACTGTTTATTCTTTTAAATAAAATTGTCTTATATTTATTTATATTTGTGTATAGTTTTTCGGTTTATTTTTGAATATTCAGGTAGATAGTATATTTTGCCTTCAATACCTATTTGTTATATGGCAAACCAGTCCCATCTTCACAAAATATAATTTCATTGGCAAAGCCAGATTCAATCTGAATAAATAAATCTAAAAATCTTCTTTGTCATTGCTGGGGTAATTTCTGGAGTTTGAGGTGTGTGTTGGACAGTGGTATTTGGAATGAACTGTGAAACAGTCACAAAAATCAGAATACTTCATCCACAGACATTTGTAATAAGTATTTTACTCTTCTGTTCTAGAATGAAATGTCCTTTCTGTTGCACAGCCATGATTTCAGGTGGGACTGTGCTGACATTTCAAAGAAGAAAGAAGGGGATCTTTACTGGTACTGACTCAACTAAATGCCTGAGGAAATTTCTTTTGGATAAGATACTAAGTGGAGATAAGGGAAATTCCTGTTTTTAAAGCCTTGGATTAGGAAGTCAGTCTACATGAAATTCTGTTAAGCCAGTTACTAGTCATGGTCAAGCAGTAGTAATTCTGGTTTAAATGCTTTTGGCTGCAGGTACACTGATCTTTGCATTCATCTTGCTTAATGTCTACTTTCATATTAGGCTGTTTTAATAAGAAGCAAAATCAATACTGAATATTTATACTAATGTCATTGTAGGCAAAAGTACCAAGATTTTACATTAATCTTTCCTGTAGGCTCTTTATAGAATGGGAAGTGCTTTTAGCCCCCCTTCTTACATGTGGCATTTTCTCATTGTGAGAATGAGCTGTGATCTAATCCCTCACTCTGCTCAGCTCTCTCTGTATGCGCTTGTCAGGCTTAGGTGCTGTGGAAACTGCAGGCCACATAGAAAGACAGAGAAATTATCAGATTAATAATTCATTCAGTGTCCTGTCTCTAGCCAGCAACTGATGCAATATCTGATGCTTAAAATATATATATAAATAAATTATACATAAATTGTGTGTTTATAATGTATTTATATAAAATAGATAAATGTGTAATTAAATGTTTCTCCATGACTTCAGGTATAATAACACTGCCTTTCCTTCCATCTTTCTTTTGAGAGGCATATTAACTACCATTTTCCACAAAGAGAAGAAAATTCCTGCTTGAGATACCCAGTATGCAGAATTTCAGAAAAGGCAGCACTAAGTCATAATCTGCTTTAAACAGTGTCTTCTGTGAAGAAGTGTTATTCTAATGGAAGGCAGGGAGAGCACCTCTACTGCCAGTATTCTTCTACTATTATGGTCTAATGTGTTAAATTCAAATGACCTTTTTCTTATTTTTAACCTTGCAACATGAAATTACTCGCAGAAAGGGCATTTTGAACAAAAAGACTTCCACACTGCCACCCAGCATGTAATAGTCTGGCGCGTGCATGATACAGCCCTTGGTGTCTGTAATTGTGAAGATTGAGATGATAAATCATGGTAGAGGAGGAGAAATTTGCAGTAAATTTTGTGATCTGGATGCATATCTGCTCAGGCTCATTCATTTATAAAGTCACCAGTTTAGCAAGTCAAAGATGAGCTTCAAATCCATGATGAAAAAATAATTAATAACTTGAGAGTTCATTCAGGGAGCACATGCTCAAATCAAGAAATAGTCTTTTTATTATTTTTTTTTTATTTAATTATAGAGACTGGAAAATATTTCCTTTTTTACTTTTAGTACATCTATTTCAAAATCCTTTGACTAGGATAGATACTCAAGTGTGGAGGTTTTATTTGTACTTTTTTAGTGTAATTTAAACCAGAATATGAACATATGTGTTTTATATAGGCACTTTTTACTGTTAAGGGATCTTACTCTGAGCAAAAAAAAAAAAAAAAAAAACTGAGAAACATCTGAAATTTGTGCAGACTGTTCAAGATCCCACAGCACTAAATCAAGGTTTATTAGAGAGCACAGCTGAAAAGTGAATCGCATAATTTCCATATTCACAGAAGAAACATTATCTGATGTCACTGGTTCTGTCCAGGCAGACTGACTTTCATATGCAGCTTTGTAATGGTCAGTGGGATACAGCTGAAGAGCTGGGTGAATCCCTTTTGCTTCCTCCTTTTTCTTTTTATTATATTAATTATTATTACTGCATGTGTGTGTTTGTGCGGGCACATGTAAAGCAAAAGGGATAGAAAGGATGGGAAGAGTCAGGCTGATTTCTTTATTTTAATAGCTGCCTGTGTTCATTTAAAACTTTGCAAGTTGGTATAAGAAATCATGAAACCATCCCAAAGCATTTTTTTTTTTTTTTTTTTGATAGAATGCGACAGTGCCTAGAAGAGAGTGAGATTTTCTAAATATTTTTTCTCATAAAAAACCAACAGTTTACTGGTTTACTCTACATTCTAATAAAATTTGGCATATTTTATTTTTCTTCTATATCAGTATTTATCATCCCGTTGGCACTGGAGCTTCCACAAAGTCACACTGAAATTATTCCTCTGCCTCTTTTAAAATTTTTCTTTCTTTATCCTTGTGTGTATCACTTTTGTATACCTGAAGCTTTAGGAAAATACTGGGCAACTCTCAAATTTTTAACAGAACTGAAAACAAAATCTTATTAAAAGGATGTTTCATATATCTTCCTTTGCTATGACAATTGCCACAATGGAAACTGAAAATCTATTACCAGTTAACTGACAGCTTTCCTTTTCATAAAGATTACTGGCAGTTCAAATCTGCATCTCTGTAGAGCTGCATACTGAAGTTATGGAAATCGGCATATTTCAGTTGACTAGTATGTACCAACTCAAAATACAAAGTCTCTGTGATATACATGAGCGGGCATTTAAATCTTATGAAGATTCCCACATTTGGGCAGGAAAGGAGGTAATTGATCAGTTACCAGGAAGAAAAAGAAATGGCAAGTTCCCCTTGTCTTACAATGTTACTGCTACTGTTGTGTTAGTGACAAATGGCACGATAGATTTATGAACTACTCTGATAAAATTCTCAGTGTAATTTTTTTCTGATTTATGAATGATTCCTATACTACATAAAATAGGTCAAAACTTATTTTTCTGTGTAAATCATAGATCAGCTATAGGATGCACTTTAGCAAAATTCAGATGCTTAGGGAGAAAACCATGGATCTTTAGTTGCTATGACGTACCTTCCTGACATTCATACCTAAAGGCACTATAAAGAATATTTGACTATTACCTGCCTTACGTCTAGACTTAACCAGAACCTAATAGGAGTATATACTGGTCTCCACTAGGTATTTATGTGGATATCATTTCAGCATGTGAAATGGAGTTTTCAATGAAGGTGCATGTATGTATAATTTGCCAGATATTACTAATACCCCTGCAAATACCAGAGAATGACTGTAGATGTCAGCACCTTAGAGCTGTAAAAGGTCGGGTCATAAAGCTCTTTTTCTTGCCCCAGAGGATCTGTCTGGCCTTGTGAGCTAGTAAGAGGGCTGCTGTAGCTCTGGAAGCTCTCATAGCTTGGTGAAATTAAAATTAAACAGTTTTAAATATAGTTGAGTCACATTCCAATCTATAAGCATTAAACTGAAATTCAGGACTTCCTCATCAAGAAAAGTTTTTTTTTTTTTTTTTAAAGCGGATTTTGTTTCATTTTCTGATCCCTTTTAAAAAAAAAAAAAAAAGCTGACACATGGTTTCTTTTTTATTTTTGATCATATGCTTGTCATTGGTATCTCATGGGTTTATGCTGATGACTGAAGACAGTTGTCCCACAAACTTTCATTCCTGCATGAGGAAACATGGCATTTAAAGGAAAGCTCACATGAGCAAGTTGAAAATAGTGTGGGGCTTTAACAGTTTGAGTCCTCAGTTCTGTGCACTGCCCAAGCTCTGAAATGCCCAAGACGCAGAAATGTCATAAATTTCAAAGCGGTTTGGCTGTGCATTTTATGTGTAAAACCTTATGCATACTGCTGGTATTTTTGGCTCAAGAAAGAAAGCATTCAAGAATAGCTCTGAATCTGTGGGGAAAGCATTTATATGCAAATTGAAAATAATGTCTTGAGATGATCTACATGATTTTTGCCTTTTCTTACTCTGCAGTAAATCCTCTCTTGGCCAGAGGGGACCTGCCTTTTCTCAGATCTGTTTGTAAGAGTGCACTGTGTCAGGTTGGTTGGCTGCCGTGATCATAGCTAGCCAAAAGATCACGTATCTGTTTCAGATATGTGACATCGGAGGGCATATTTGAAATATGTGACATTGGAGGGCATATTCAAACAATTCTCAGGTTTTCCTGTTCCTTGTAGGTTTTCTGATCCACCTTTTAAGCCTGATATAGCTTTCAAAAAAAGCAACATGAGAAGGAAAAAGCATTTTGACACATGGTGACAACTGTGTGAGCTAAAGAGGGCATAAACAGTTGTAGTAAGGCAGGAGGCAGTAGGAAGCTCCAGAGCTTTGAGTGTTAGCCTGCAGCTTTAGTCTCAGATACACCATTTTTTTCTCTCTAGTTTTAACAGAACCACTTAACCTTCTCTGATCCCACTTCTCAACAGAAAATCTAATTCCCACAATGCACATGTTTGGTAAGGATAAGTCAATATCCACTCTGACAAAAACTAGTTGAGTTTAATGAAGGTTTTGGGCATTTTGCCTTTCCCTCTAAGTAGGAGACAGAGCAAATGCTTAATGAAGAATTTTGATAATTCAAAATTCACTTTTTTTCTTCTTTCCTAGTCATAGAGAAAGTCCAAATGATGATATTTTCTGTAAGAGGAAATGCTCTTGGAATCTTGGTGCTAGAAACAATTCACATGCCAAACTGTTACAAATCTTCAAAGATCAGACAGCTCTTGGGGCCTCAGGCTATCAGGCAGTCAGCTTGCCTGGTTGCTCCAGGATTATGGAGCTAATAAACTTGGGGAGGTAGGCTTTGATGTAATTAAAAGGACTTATTTGATCTCAGGCTCCCAGTAGTCTCTCAGGTAGG